CAACTCCTGGGCTTAGGCGATTCTCTTGCCTCAGCCTCCCAAGTAGCTGGGATTACAGGCGCCTGCCACAATGCTGGGCTGTTTTTTTGTTGCAGTTTGGCCAGGGCTAGGTTTGAACCCGTCACCCTTGGCATATGGGGCTGGCGCCCCACCTACCAAGCCATAGGTGCTGCTTTTCTTTCTCTTTTTTTAAAATTTCACATTATCACAGGGCTACAAATTGATTTTTTTTTTTTAAGAGACAGAGTTTTACTATGTTGTCCTCCGTAGAGAGCTGTGAAGTCATAGCTCACACCAACCTTACACTCTTCAGCTTAAGTGTTTCTCTTGCCTCAGCCTTCCAAGTAGCTGGGACTGTAGGCACCCACCACAATGCCAAGCTATTGTTTTTGTTGTAGTTTTCATTGTTGTTTAGCTGGCCCAGGCTGGGTTTGAATACGCCATCTTTGGTGTATGTGGCTGGCGCTGTTACCACTGTGCTGCAGGTGCTGAGCCATTTTGCCCACTTTCTAATTGACTTTTTTGTTGTTGAGTTTTAGGAGTTTTTTATATATTCTGGATATTAAAATCCCTTATCAAATACCTGATTGTGTGACTATTTTTTCTATCCATACATTCGATAGGTTGGGTTTTTTTTCTGTTGATGCTGACTTTTTTTGAGGTTTTTTGTTTTAAATTGAGACAGGAACTCTCTGTTTGCTGAGCTGGTGATCCTCCTGCCTTAGCCTTCTGAGAAACCAGGACTACAGGTGCATAACACCATACTGAGCTGTTTTTATTTTTTTATCATGATGAGGTCTCACTGTTACCTAGGCTTGTCTCAAATTCCTGGCTTCAAGTGATCCTCCTGCCTCAGCCTCTTAAAGTGTTAGGATTATAAGTGTGAGCCACCTTGCCCAGCCGATTCTGACTTTTTATGCACAGAAATTTTGGGGTTTTTTTTTTTTTTTTCGGTTTTTGAGACAAAGTCTTACTCTCTTGCCCTTTATAGAGTGCTGTAGCATCATAGCTCATGGCAGCCTCAAACTCTTGGGCTCAAGTGATTGCCTCAGCATCCTGAGTAGCTGGGACTACAAATGCTTGCCACAAATACCTGGCTATTTTTAGAGACAGGGTCTCTGGCTCACGTTGTTTTTGAACCTATGAGCTTAGGCAATCTACCTGCCTTGGGCTCCTCAGTGCTAGGACTACAGGCATGAGCCACTGCACCCAGCCCTATGCACAGAAGTTTGAAGTTTTCTTTTTCCTCTTTTTTGAGACACTCTTGCTCTGTCACTCCTAGTAGAGTCCAGTGATGTTATCATAGCTCACTGTAACCTCACATTCCTGAGTTCAAGCAGTCCTCCTGCCTCGGCCTCTGTAGTAGTTGGGACTACAGGCTGCATGCCACAATACCTAGCTAATTTTTAGTAGATAATGGGGATCTCACTCTTCTCAGGCTGAGAAGTTTTAACTTTTGATGTAGTTCAATTCTTTTATTTTTATTTTTGTTGCCTGAGCTTTTAGTGTTATATCCAAGAAATCACTGCCAAATCTAATGTCATGAAGCTTTTCTTTCATGTTTCCGCTAAGAGTTTTGTAGTTTTCAGTCTTATATTTAGGCCTTTGGTCATTTGGAGTTCAGTTTTGCAAATAGTGTAAAGGTTAAAGTAAGGCACACTGTATCAGGCTGCTAAGGCTGCCATAACAATACAACTGACTAGATGGCTTCAACTATGGAAATCTATTTTCTAACAGTCCTGGAGGGTGGAAGTATACGATCAAACGGGCAGGGTTGTTTTCTGGTGTGACTTAACCTCTTCTACATGATAGCTACATTCTTGCTCTGTTCTCCCATGGCCTTTGCTATATGCATGCTCACTCCTGGTGTCTCTTCCACTTGTAAGGACTGGCTCTGTTAGATTTAGGTCCCACCCTTATGATTTTGTTTAACCTCCGTTATCTTGTTAAAGGTTCATCTCCAAATATAGTTACATCAGGGATTAAGGCTTTAACACAGGGGTCCTCAAACTTTTTAAATAGGGGCCTAGTTCACTGTCCCTCAGACCATTGGAGGGCCGGACTGCACGGCCAGGGACAAGTTGGCTGCTAAGCAGGACAGGCAACAGTGGCAAAAACACCCGGTGGGCTGGATAAATGTCCTAGGTGGCCACACCTGCTTTAACATATGAAGGATACCTGCTTTAACATATGAATTTTGGAGGAGGATATGATTCAGTCCACAACAGATTTCAAATTCTTTTTTTTGCGTGTAGATATCCAATTTAAGAAAAAACTTAAAATTGGGTAGTTTGTTTTTCATGAGGCTCTTGTTTTTTATATGTGTGGAGCTTTTTTTGTATGTTTTGTTTTGAGACAGTGTATTGCTCTGTTGCCTGGGCTAGACTGTGGTGGCTTCATCATAGCGCACTGCAGCCTCAAACTCCTGAAGTGAAGCATCCTTGAATAGGTGGGATTTTAGGTGTTTTTAGCTCACTCCAACTTGAAACTTATAGGCTCAAATTATTCTCCTGCTTCAGCGTACTGAGGTGACTGTGACTACAGGTGTGTGCCAACATGCCCAACTAATTTCTGTAATGACAGCGTCTTGCTATGTCGCTTAGGCTGATCTTGAACTCCTGGCCTTAAGCAGTCTTCCTGCCTCAATTTCCCAAAGTACTGGGATTATAGGTGTGAACTTTTATACACAGCTGGGGCTGGTATTACCTTGTACAGTTAATCATGTCTCTTGATTATTGTTATCATTGACCATATGTAGAAAGATACTTGTGCATGCACACATGCTCATGTAGGTATAGACACAAAAGCAATCTATTAAGCACTTGCCTAAAATGTAGTAGTGGGATAGAATTTATCATCTATAGTGATGCTAGGAAATGATGCAATAAATGTACACTTTCTTTTGAGACGGAATGTCACTTTGTCAACCTCCATAGAGTGTGTGGCATCATAGCTCACAGCAACCTGAAATTCTTGGGCTCAAGCGATTCTCTTGCCTCAGCCTCCCAAGTAGCTAGGACTATAGGCACCCGCCACAATGCCTGGCTGTTTTTAGAGATGAGGTCTCACTCTGGCTCAGGCTGATCTCTAAATCCGTGAGCTCAGGCAGTCCACCTACCTGGCCTCCCAAGTGCTAGGATTACAGGCATGAGCCACTGCGCCCGGCCAAATGTGCCTTTTTTTAAGAAACTAGTCTGCATTTTGCATGTGAATTATGAAGTCCAGATAAGTTAAAACAGTACTCCCCCGCCAAAAAAAACCAAATGTTATTTTTAAGTTTAACTTATTTTTTTTCCTTTTTGAGAGACAAAGTCTTGATTTGTCCCCTGAACCAGAGTGCAGAGGCATTATCACAGGTCACTGCAACCACATACTTTAAGGCTCAGGTTATTCTCCAGCCTTAGCCTCCTGAGGTGTTGGGACTACAGATGTGTGCCACCATGCCCAGCTAGTTTTTCTATTTTTTGTAGAAAAAATAGAACTTCTAGGCTCAAGTAGTTCTCCTGCCTCAACCCTCCAGAGTGCCAGGATTATAGGCATGACCCACCATGCCCAGCCTCCACATAAAGTTCTTTAAGCTTAATTCACAAGAAGCCATGGAGAACAATTTACATCGTGTTTTCTGAGACATGATTGTTTAAAATTAACTTATATGCCTAAGCTTAGGAACTCGTTGAGGTAATTATGTTTCAATTTTAATTTATTCAATTTATAACTTTGTTTTCTTTTTATAATGTTTAGATGTGAAAATCACCATGAAAAACTTAGTGTATTTTGCTGGACTTGCAAGAAGTGTATCTGCCATCAGTGTGCACTTTGGGGAGGAATGGTGAGCAGAGCAAATTCAGTATGTTCTCTTTGAAGACTTGAAAGCACTGAAATACTTGTTCGATTTAGATAAAAATAGCATCATTTTACTTTTGTTTGTAGAATGAAAATTAAAATACATCTGCTTTAAGATGCTTTATTAAAAATAAAATGCCTTCTATTATTCCAGGAAAACCTTTTTTGTGGGGTGCTTAAGAGATTACTTCTGGCATAAATGTTTTATTTTAATCTGATATTTACATAATTTATAATGTATTCATTTGCAAATCTTATGTTGTATCAAGGTGGGTTTTGTTTTTTCGTGTGAATTAGAGGTCAGTTGATCTCTGATATACTGGCCATGACAACCAATTTTGGTTTCTTTTAAATGGACTGATAATTTAGATGATACTCATGAAACAGCACGAGTGCAGATATCTAGATTTTGTTTAATTTTTTATTCTTTTTTTTTTTTTTGAGACAGAATCTCAAGCTGTCCCCCTGGGTAGAGTGCCGTGGCATCACAGCTCACAGGCACCCGCCACAACGCCTGGCTATTTTTTGGTTGCAGCCATCATTGTTGTTTGGCTGGCCAGGGCTGGAGATTCGAACCCGCCACCTTAGGTGTATGTGGCTGGCGCCTTAGCTGCTTGAGCCACAGGCGCCGAGCCTAATTTTTTATTCTTTATTCTAATCTAGTTGAAAAGCAGTTTTTAAAGGCAATCTACTGGAAAGTATTTAACCAAGTCTAAAGCATTCAGTTTAGTTGGTAGAAGCAGCTTTTTATTTTATTGTCATATTCAATTGTTTAATGTTAAATTATTTACTTAATAATAAGTATAATTGGCATAAATAGGTTGAAAATAAGCACAACAGATTCTTAGTGGGAAAAATAAGTCATATGAGGAGCAGAAATGGGTAGACATCTAGAGTTATCTATAGAAAACCATGGCCATGAGAATTGATCATTCTGGCTCTGCACCTGTGGCTCAAGTAGCTAAGGCGCCAGCCACATACACCTAAGGTGGTGGGTTTGAATCCCCAGCCCGGGCCCGCCAAACAACAATGATGCCGGGCGTTGTGGCGGGCGCCTGTAGTCCCAGCTACTTGGGAGGCTGAGGCAGGAGACTCGCTTGAGCCCAGGAGTTGGAGGTTGCTATGAGCTGTGATGCCATGGCACTCTACCCAGGGGGATAGCTTGAGGCACCGTCTAAAAAAAAAGAGAATTGATCATTCTGTAGACCTCAGCAAGTGTGTTTTACAGAGAGAATGACAGGCCAAATTGTTAAGAGTCCAGTTCAAGAGCTTTCTATTAGAATTTGCATACTAATGTGTTGACTAGAAAAAAACTAAGTTTCCACAATTTAATACTTAAATGGACAGGTTTTGTAAGGGCAGTGGAAACATTTTTTTCCCCCATATTTACACGTGAAAATGTACATATTTTTTCTTTTGAAGACTATAGTGGGATACTTTGTCTAGATGAGACAATTATAGTAGTCACTTACCTGTTATAGAAAGTTTCTTACAATAGAAATTTAATAGTTCTACCAGTCCAGAGAGTTATATATTACAATACTAAAAATGGATAGAATATTGTTTTTAGGTTAACTCCAAAAAATTGTATTTTGAGCTGACTGCAGTTGTAGCTGGAAGGCTAATTTGTATTAGCATTCTATCTCTATAGTAGCTCTTCCTGGCAAGGGAAATAGGTTTATTGTTTTTGCTGACTGTGTACCCTGAGTTTTTTCCTCAAATGTCTTTCTAATTTATTCAACTATGGTAGAGACTGGGGATTTGGTTCTACATTTAATTGTTGTGATGGATTTGAAGAATAAATACAGAGGGGTGATGAGAGTGCATAACCTTATTGGGAGGCTGGCCCTATAAGCCTATGCTCGGAGGAGTAGGAATGAAGAGATACAGAAATGGTAGAGGCAGGATGGAGAATTGTTTCTGAATAAGAGAGAGTAATTTTGCAATGCCTGGTAGAAAGCTTGAGGACATCAAAGAAGACTGATGTTGCCTGAAGGAAGAGGGAGGGAGGTTGTGGCAGATGGTTTGGCCAGGGGTTAAGGGTTTTCTTCTTTCTAATGAATCCATTTCTATTTGTTTTAATAAGTCAATTTCTAGGTAAATCAGTATTTTGTTGGAAGGTCATTACTTACAATCTTAAGAGTTCTTATGTGTTGAAATGATTTTAAGCATTGGCCTGTTTTAGCCAAATATAAGATACCTGAAGCAATAGAATTTATTGAAAATATTTAGTTTTCATGGACTACTACAAAGAAATGTAAATGCAGGTAAGATATGTAAAATGTTCTAAAATTACTCTTATTAATTCAAATAGCATGGTGGACATACCTTTAAGCCTCTGGCAGAAATTTATGAGCAGCATGTCACTAAAGTGAATGAAGAGGTAGCCAAACTTCGGCGACGTCTCATGGAACTGATCAGCCTAGTTCAAGAAGTGGTAAGGTTACTGTAAGAGATCATTATCCCTTTTATACTCATATATTATGTAATATAAATCACTCAGATGTTGAAATCAGACTCAGCGCCTATGGCTCAAGTGGCTAAAGCCCAGCCACATACTCCTAAGCTGGCGGGTTCAAATTCAGCCCGGGCCCACCAAACAATGACGACTGCAACCAAAAAATAGCCAGGTGTTGTGGTAGGCACCACCTACATGGGAGGCAGAGGCAGGAGATTCACTTGAGCCCAGGAGTTGGAGGTTGCTGTGAGCTGTGATGCCACGGCACTCTACTACCCAGGGCTCTGTCTTGAGGCTCTGTCTCTAAAAAAAAAAAAAAGATGTTGAAATCCAGACTTTTAAGATTTGCAGATTTTATAGGCTCTATCTATTGTCAGTCTCATCAATTAGATGAGAATTTTACATCCAAAGTCCTGGTCTATAAAAAAGCAGTGAAAGCCAGAGAATTGCCTCTTATGTAGAATTAGAATGTTATTTAATGAGTTAAAGAAGTCTGTGAAATCTGTTTTTTACATAGTCAATAATTGATTTTTTTTTCATTCTATTTTTAGTAGAAACAGGGTCCAGCTCTAGCTCAGGCTGGTGTGTGTTTGTTTTTTGAGACAGAATCTCACTATGTTGCCCTAAGAAGAAGAGTGCCATGGTGTCACAGCTCACAGCAACCTCAAACTCTTGGGCTTAAGCAGTTCTCTTGCCTTAGCCTCCCAAGTAGCTGGGACTACAGGTGCCTGCCTGCCTCAGTGCCCTGCTAGTTTTTTATTGTTGCAGTTGTCATTGTTGTTTAACTGGCCAGGCTTGGTATATACGGCCGTCCCCACAACCACTGTGCTACAGGTGCTGAGCTGCTGAGTTTGGTGTTGAACTCCTGAGCTCAAGTAATCCTCCTGTGTCACCCTCCCATGTCAGTGCTAGGATTACAGGCATAGTAATTAACTTCCTTTTTTCTTTCTTTCTTTCTTTTTTTTTTTTTTTTTAGTAATTAACTTCTAAACAGAGTCAAATTGACTTTTACAGGGTCATTAAATTATAAATTCTTTGGATTCCCAGCTTTTGGGAAAGTTTCTTCTACCAAGGAATGAACTATTTCTGATGTCCTGAATTAGATCTCTACAAAGTTGAAAAAGTAGTATTTCATACCACTCTTCAGATTTTGTATGGATCAAACAGCTTTTTATTTGTTATTTAATGTGTTATTTCTACGGGAAAATACGATAAGGTTTCAAATAGTTAATTTGGCAGAATGACAGTTATAAATGAGGTTTTTGGACTATTCCTAATTTAGGAACAGATGTCATCTTTGTCTTATCCAGGGGTCCTCAAACTTTTTAAACAGGGGGCTGCTCACTGTTGGAGGGCTCAGACTGTTGGAGGGCTGGACTGCAGGCCACGGGACAAGTTGGCTGCTAAGCAGGACAGGCAGCGGTGGCAAAAACACCCAGTGGGCTGGATAAATGTCCTAGGTGGGCTTCAGTTTGAGAATGCCTGGTTACCCCTTCAGGAACCAAGTGCCAAATCATCATTGTAACATTCTTTATGTAGGAAATAGTGTCTTTGAATTGTAGGTATATAGTTTGGATTTGGCTATCATCTAACTACCTTTTTACTGTTATTTTTTCTCTTCTTTTTTTTTTTTTATTTTTGTGAGACAGAATCTTACTTTGTTGCCCTCGGTAGAGTGCCATGGCGTCATAGCTCACAGCAACCTCTAACTCTTGGGCTCAAGTGATTCTCTTGCCTCAGCCTCCTGAGTAGCTGGAACTACAGGCACCTGCCACAACACCCCGCTATTTTTAGAGATGAAGTCTCACTCTGGTGAGAGTCAGAGAGTCATTCTTTTTGTAGTTATAATTCTTTCTGTTTAACTTTTAAAAATATCCTAAGTTGGTATGCCTTAATTGTTTGTTTAATAATCTTTTAAAACTGATTCAGGATCTCTACTAAAAATAGAAAAAACTGAGACAAGAGGATTGCTTGAGCCCAAAGAGTTGGAGGTTACTGTGACGCCATGGCACCCTATCCAGGGCAACAGCTTGAGACTCTGTCTCAAAAAATTAAATAAAATTAATTTAGTTCAATGCACAGAATTTTTTAAAGCCATAATTTAGTTTATGCTTTGTCAGCAACTTAAATATAGTGTTATAACTTAACTGTTTTTAAAGAGGGAATCAAATGACTTTAATTTGAGGCTGGGTACGATGGCTCACAACTGTAATCTCAGAACTTTGGGAGACTGAGGCAGAAGGGCTGCTTGAGGCTAGGAGTTTGAAACCACCTAGACAACATAGTGATACCCCTGTCTCTACAAGAAAATGGACCAAAGAAAAGAAAAGGTGGGGGGTCCTGGGCAAGATTGCTCAAACCTGTAATCTTAGCACTTTGGGAGATAAAGGTGGGGTAGATTCCTTGACCTGTAGTGTTCAAAACCAGCCTGAACAAGAGCAAAACCTTGTCCCTACTAAAAATAGAAATTAGCTGGGTGTTGTGGCAGGTACTTATAGTCCCAGGTATTTGGGAGCTGAGGCAGGAGGATTGCTGGAACCCAGGAGTTTGTGGTTGCTATGAGCTAGGCTGATGGGACTGCGCCCCTCCTCCCAAAAAGCATAATAATAGTTATTGCATTAATGTCTCTCTTTGCTTGTGTTTTTACAGTTCTCCAGTTAAAGTTATTCTTACCTGTTTATCTTCTAGGAAAGAAATGTAGAAGCTGTAAGAAATGCAAAAGATGAACGTGTTCGGGAAATTAGGAATGCAGTGGAGATGATGATAGCACGGTTAGACACTCAACTGAAGAATAAGCTTATAACACTGATGGGTGAGTGTTTTATATGCTGCTGGGACACCTAGTGCTTTATTAGGTGAGGTTCAGTCTTTGAAGAGTAACTTGATGAGCTGTTACAGGCTTAGGAAGGAATCTTCAGATTTTAGACTATCTCACATCATTACAATCTGGATAGATATGTGACATATACTTAGAAATGATTGGAGAGAAAAGTTTTCATAGCCATTTTGGAGGAATCGTTTGGGGAAGGGGGTCTTTGGGGGAGTGATTCTTCTGCATCAGCTTTCCTAGTAGCTGGAATTACAGGTGCATGTTACTGCATGCAGTATTAGGTGTAAGAATCTTAATGCCCAGTGGACTTCATTTCTAGGTAGCATTTTTTCCAATCTGATCAAAATTGCTACCATTCATGTCCCATTTCTCTTTTTTTTTTTGAGACAGAGTCTCACTATGTCGCCCTTGGTAGAGTGCTATCGTGTCACAGCTCAGAACAACTTCAAACTCTTTGGGGTAAGAGATTGTCTTGCCTCAGCCTCCCAAGTAGCTGGGACTACAGGTGCCTTTGACAACGCCAAGCTTTTTTTTTTTTTTTTTAAATAGTTGTCATTGTTTTATCAGGCCCAGGCCAGGTTTGAACCTGCCAGCCCTGATGTGTGTGGCTAGCACCCTAACCACTTGGGCACCAAGCCAAATGTCCCATTTCCTTAAGTACAACAGCAGTCAACACAGAAGGCATCTGTGACCTTTGTAGGGGATTTCTCTCTGCTGACAGTTCTGCAGTAGACAACAGCTGGGTGTTCTGTAATTCAATTCTGACACTACCTAGAGATAACATTAGCTCCTATGGGTTGAGGGCTCAGCCCCTAAGACTGCCATCTCTCCCCCCAGATATAAATAACAAATCTGGGCCCTGGAACTAATGACAGACCAACTTCAAGTTAAGGTTCTTACAACTTTCTCTTTGAGTTCAATTAATTTGCTTGAGTGGCTCATAGAACTCTGAGTGACACTTAAGTTTACCAGTTTTTTTACTTTACAACACCATACTCCTCCCTTAGGCAAAAATTGTATGGTTATAGCAGCATGCTCCCCCAACCCCTCTTCCTAAATTAACCAGAAAAATGAAGGAAAATCTAGTGGGAGCACTTCTTTAGTCCTACTCATGTTGAGTGTGACTCGGGAAGGTATGTAATGCTAGTCCTTTGTGGTTTTATCTCCTCCTGTTTTAGACAGCCAGCATTCTAGTTGCCCTTTCTACTTCTCTGTCAAACTCTTATTCTGAGTAGGATATCTCTTTGCCTATCGCTGGACATAATGGACTGTACAGTGTGGTTTTGGTCTGGAGAAACGATTTTTTTTTTTTTTTTGAGACAGTTGCACTTTGTCACCCCCAGTAGAGTGCTATTGGCATCATAGATCCCAGCAATCTCAAAGTCTTAGGCTCAAGTGATTCTCTTGCCTCAGCTTCCCCAGTAGCTGGAACTACAGGCACCCACCACACCACCTGGCTATTTTTAGAGACGAGGTCTTATTCTGGCTCAGGCTGGTCTCGAGTCCATGAGCTCAGGCAATCCTTGTGCCTTGGCCTCCCACAGTGCTAGGATTATAGGCTTGAACCACCGTGCCCAGCCAAGAAATGACAGTCTTTTTTTTTTTTT